AGGCGGACATCCCCAGAGGGGTCCTTAGCGCTGCCTTGGAGGCAGGAGAGGTTCCCGCCACCGCTGCTGCACTTGCCAGCAGTAAGCACAGCTTCTGGTTGAGCGATGCTCCCTCTGTGGGAGCGCACTGACCACCAGGGGGCAGCTCCTACATTGAGCATCTGTCCGCTGGTGGTCAGTGCGCATCATAGCGACCAGACATTCAGCCATTTGGTCGATTTGCAAATTAGCCTTTTATTATATAGGATAGAGTTTTATCCTTGGAATCTATGGAGATACAAGTAATCCAAGTTAAAATTTTTCATAAGCATCTTAGTGCTTTATACTTATTACTAGGGGCCTGTTGCACGAGGATTCGTGCACGGGGTGGGGGGGTCCCTCAGCCCGACCTGCACCCTCTCCAATCTGGGAGCCCTCTCCAATCCGGGAGTTTCTGTCTGTCTTTGCAATCATATGAGTGAATTGTCTGAGACCCCCAACCCAGTTTGGTTTGTTGCTCGCAGAATAATAGAGGCAATTTTTTTTCTCTTTGCTTCATTGTTGGAGATTTCCTGGAAGTTTTAGGATATGTTCCCTTTAATTTTTCCTAGACACTCTGATTTTACTTATATCTCTCACTTTTGCTTTCTCTCCATCCCCCACCACAATAGTAACTTGCTTCAGGCTCACTTTGCTCTAGTGCAGTGGTTCTCAACCTTTTGGCCCTTTAAATACAGTTCCTCCTGTTGTGACCCAACCATAAAATTATTTTCGTTGCTACTTCATAACTGTAATGTTGCTACTGTTATGAATAGTAATGTAAATATCTGATATGCAGGATGGTCTTAGGTGACCCCTGTGAGAGGGTCGTTCAACCACCAAAGAGGTAGCAACTCACAGGTTTAGAACCGCTGCTCTAGTGTCTAGGATAGTGGTTCTCAACCTTCCTAATGCCGAGACCCTTTAATACAGTTCCTCATGTTGTGGTGACCCCCAATTTCATTGTTACAAATTGAATATAATTAAAGCATAGTGATTAATCACAAAAACAATATGTAATTATATATGTGTTTTCTGATGGCCTTAGGCGACCCCTGTGAAAGGGTTGTTCTACCCCCAAAGGGGTCGCGACCCACAGGTTGAGAATCACTGGTCTAGGAGATCCATCTGCCACCAGAACTACGATTCCCAGAATTCCTGCACTCTTGGTTTTCCCTTTCTGCTCTGTCTCCATCCCTTGGCCTCCCACTCTGCCAAGTCCTCCAAGCTGCCAGCTCTCCTGCTCTGCTCTCTGCCCAGTGGCTTGGGGGGCGTGGCTCCCTTGGTTGCTGGGAGCGACTGAGGGAGCCATGTTCCCCCACCTCTTAGGCTCTCCTGCTCTGCTCTCCGCCTGGCACCTGTGTATGCAAATTAACCTGCCATCTTTGTTGGGTTAATTTGCATACTCACTCCTGATTGGCTGGTGGACATTGCAGAGGTATGGTCAATTTACATGTTTCTCTTTTATTTTTTTATTTTTTTTGTTTCTCTTTTATTATATAGGATTACATTTATCTTCCCAACACACCAATGAGGAAGCTGAGGTTAAGTACCTTGCCTAAGAGCACATACTTAGTATGTAACAGAAAAAGTATTCAAATTCTGGCAGTCAGATCTACAGCATTGTTTTGACACTATGCATATAGAATCCTCCAAATTCATTAAAGGTTGATGTAGCAAGTACTTCCATATTAGGATGTAGAAACAACTAATATTACTCCATGAATTCTACTCCCTGGTTTGACGAGCATTGCATGGTGACTTTGGTTATCTGGTAGAGGAACAACCTTTAGAATTAATCCAAGCCCCATTTCCCCCTTCTGGGCCAGGGTATCAGAAGAATTCAAGTCCAAATAGGAGACTGTGTCCATCTGCAGCTGCATTCATGTGAAATATCATATCCTATGGTTTAAGCGGCTATTTGTTTGGTTTTCTTTTGCTTGTAGCTAACAGGATCCTGATATACCCAATCATGATTAAGACGGAATCTTCTGGCAACCCAGGAGATGGGAGGCTTGGAGCAAATTACATTGATCTAATGAATAAATAAAATATGGCATTTCTTACTCTCCTATTAAAGAGTAAAATTGGTACTCAGTGTATAATATCTCTCTCATAATGTTTGTTGGGGAAGTAAAGGGGATAATGTTCTTAGAAAAGTCGCTTTAAGTGGTAGTCATCATTGCTGCTCTTCCCATTAGACTGAATGTTTGGAAGTTGTGGGAAGTAGGGAGGAGGTAGAAGAGAAGGTGGAGGAATAAACAAAATAGTCTTACAAATTCCAGGTTCTTCAACTGTCAAGAGAACCATTTATGTTATAAATGTAAAATATTTCCACATAGAACTCAGTCTGGGCATTTTCACTTATTGTCTTAGTCACGTCACACATTGGTATTATCATTCTCCTTATTTTCCATTTTGACTACATGGGAATTTTGAAAACTGACAGAAAAAAATTGTTCATTTTAGGTCCTTAGATAGG